CTGAGACATTAGGAAGGACTTCTTGATGGCAAGAGCTGTTCAGCAATGAAATATAGGGCCTCAGCGCTTGATGGAGTCGCCTTCTCTGGAGGTTGTTCATGCAGGGGCAACAGGGCCATCTGTCAGGAGGGCTTTGGTTGTGTACTTTTGTGTGGCATTCCACTGAAAGATTAGGAAGGACTTCTTGATGGAGAAAACTGTTTGGCAATAGAATATGGAGCCTCAGTATCTGGTGTTTTTCTATGAAGAGGCAGCATGGCCATCTATTGGGAGGGCTTTGTTTGGGTCTTTATGTAAAGCATTCCACTAAAACATTAGGAAGGGCTTCTTGATGGCAAGAGCTGTTGGGCAATGAAATATAGGGCCTCGGCGCTGGGTAGAGTCACCTTCTCTGGAGGTTGTTCATGAAGAGGCAGCATGACCATCTGTTGGAAGGGCTTTGATTGTGTCTTTCTCTACAGCATTCCACTGAAACATTAGGAAGAACATCTTGGTGGTAAGAACTGTTCAGGAGTGGAATGTGCAGCCTGGTCATTTAGTGGAGCCTCCTCCTCTGGGGATGGCATGTCCATCTGTCGGGAAGGCTTTGATTGTGTCTTTCTGTATGGTATTCCACTGAGACAGTAGGAAGAACATCTTGATGATAAGAACTGGAATATGCAGCCTGGTCATTTAGTGGAGCCTCCTCCTCTGGAGGCGGCATGTCCATCTGTCGGGAGGGCTTTGATTGTGTCTTTCTGTACAGCATTCCACTGAAACATTAGGAAGAACATCTTGGTGGTAAGAACTGGAATATGCAGCCTGGTTGTTTAGTGGAGCCTCCTCCTCTGGAGGCGGCATGTCCATCTGTCAGGGAGGGCTTTGATTGTGTCTTTATGTACAGCATTCCATTGAAACATTAGGAAGAACATCTTGATGGTAAGAACTGGAATATGCAGCCTGGATGTTTAGTGGAGCCTCCTCCTCTGGAGGCGGCATGTCCATCTGTCAGGAGGGCTTTGATTGTGTCTTTCTGTACAGCATTCCACTGAAACATTAGGAAGAACATCTTGGTGGTAAGAACTGTTCAGGAGTGGAATGTGCAGCCTGGTCATTTAGTGGAGAGTCCTCCTCTGGAGGCAGCATAATGGCCATCTGTCGGGAGGGCTTTGATTGTGTCTTTCTGTACAGCATTCCACTGAAACATTAGGAAGAACATCTTGGTGGTAAGAACTGGAATATGCAGCCTGGTTGTTTAGTGGAGCCTCCTCCTCTGGAGGCGGCATGTCCATCTGTCAGGAGGGCTTTGATTGTGTCTTTCTGTACAGCATTCCACTGAAACATTAGGAAGAACATCTTGGTGGTAAGAACTGTTCAGGAGTGGGATGTGCAGCCTGGTGGTTTAGTGGAGCCTCCTCCTCTGGAGGCGGCATGTCCATCTGTCGGGAGGGCTTGGATTGTGTCTTTCTGTACAGCATTCCACTGAAACATTAGGAAGAACATCTTGGTGGTAAGAACTGTTCAGGAGTGGAATGTGCAGCCTGGTCATTTAGTGGAGCCTCCTCCTCTGGAGGCGGCATGTCCATCTGTCGGGAGGGCTTTGATTGTGTCTTTCTGTACAGCATTCCACTGAAACATTAGGAAGAACATCTTGGTGGAAAGAACTGGAATATGCAGCCTGGTCGTTTAGTGGAGCCTCCTCCTCTGGGGACGGCATAATGACCATCTGTGGGGAGGGCTTGGATTGTGTCTTTCTGTACAGCATTCCACTGAAACATTAGGAAGAACATCTGGTGGAAAGAACTGTTCAGGAGTGGAATGTGCAGCCTGGTCATTTAGTGGAGCCTCCTCCTCTGGAGGCAGCATAATGGCCATCTGTCGGGAGGGCTTTGATTGTGTCTTTCTGTACAGCATTCCACTGAAACATTAGGAAGAACATCTTGGTGGTAAGAACTGTTCAGGAGTGGAATGTGCAGCCTGGTCATTTAGTGGAGCCTCCTCCTCTGGAGGCAGCATAATGACCATCTGTCGGGAGGGCTTTGATTGTGTCTTTCTGTACAGCATTCCACTGAAACATTAGGAAGAACATCCTGGTGGAAAGAACTGTTCAGGAGTGGAATGTGCAGCCTGGTCATTTAGTGGAGCCTCCTCCTCTGGAGGCAGCATAATGGCCATCTGTCGGGAGGGCTTTGATTGTGTCTTTCTGTACAGCATTCCATTGAAACATTAGGAAGAACATCTTGGTGGTAAGAACTGTTCAGGAGTGGAATGTGCAGCCTGGTCATTTAGTGGAGCCTCCTCCTCTGGAGGCAGCATAATGACCATCTGTCGGGAGGGTTTGGATTGTGTCTTTCTGTACAGCATTCCACTGAAACATTAGGAAGAACATCTTAGTGGAAAGAACTGTTCAGGAGTGGGATGTGCAGCCTGGTCATTTAGTGGAGCCTCCTCCTCTGGAGGCAGCATAATGGCCATCTGTCGGGAGGGCTTTGATTGTGTCTTTCTGTACAGCATTCCATTGAAACATTAGGAAGAACATCTTGGTGGTAAGAACTGTTCAGGAGTGGAATGTGCAGCCTGGTCATTTAGTGGAGCCTCCTCCTCTGGAGGCAGCATAATGGCCATCTGTCGGGAGGGCTTTGATTGTGTCTTTCTGTACAGCATTCCATTGAAACATTAGGAAGAACATCTTGGTGGTAAGAACTGTTCAGGAGTGGAATGTGCAGCCTGGTCATTTAGTGGAGCCTCCTCCTCTGGAGGCAGCATAATGACCATCTGTCGGGAGGGTTTGGATTGTGTCTTTCTGTACAGCATTCCACTGAAACATTAGGAAGAACATCTTAGTGGAAAGAACTGTTCAGGAGTGGGATGTGCAGCCTGGTCATTTAGTGGAGCCTCCTCCTCTGGAGGCAGCATAATGGCCATCTGTCGGGAGGGCTTTGATTGTGTCTTTCTGTACAGCATTCCACTGAAACATTAGGAGGAACATCCTGGTGGTAAGAACTGTTCAGGAGTGGAATGTGCAGCCTGGTCATTTAGTGGAGCCTCCTCCTCTGGAGACAGCATAATGACCATCTGTCGGGAGGGTTTGGATTGTGTCTTTCTGTACAGCATTCCACTGAAACATTAGGAAGCACATCTTGGTGGAAAGAACTGGAATATGCAGCCTGGTTGTTTAGTGGAGGCTCCTCCTCTGGGGGCGGCATGTCCATCTGTCGGGAGGGCTTGGATTGTGTCTTTCTGTACAGCATTCCACTGAAACATTAGGAAGAACATCTTGGTGGTAAGAACTGGAATATGCAGCCTGGTTGTTTAGTGGAGCCTCCTCCTCTGGAGGCGGCATGTCCATCTGTCAGGAGGGCTTTGATTGTGTCTTTCTGTACAGCATTCCACTGAAACATTAGGAAGAACATCTTGGTGGAAAGAACTGGAATATGCAGCCTGGTTGTTTAGTGGAGCCTCCTCCTCTGGAGGCAGCATAATGGCCATCTGTTGGGAGGGCTTTGATTGTATCTTTCTGTACAGCATTCCATTGAAACATTAGGAAGAACATCTTGGTGGTAAGAACTGTTCAGGAGTGGAATGTGCAGCCTGGTCATTTAGTGGAGCCTCCTCCTCTGGAGGCAGCATAATGACCATCTGTCGGGAGGGTTTGGATTGTGTCTTTCTGTACAGCATTCCACTGAAACATTAGGAAGAACATCTTAGTGGAAAGAACTGTTCAGGAGTGGGATGTGCAGCCTGGTCATTTAGTGGAGCCTCCTCCTCTGGAGGCAGCATAATGGCCATCTGTCGGGAGGGCTTTGATTGTGTCTTTCTGTACAGCATTCCACTGAAACATTAGGAGGAACATCCTGGTGGAAAGAACTGTTCAGGAGTGGAATGTGCAGCCTGGTCATTTAGTGGAGCCTCCTCCTCTGGAGACAGCATAATGACCATCTGTCGGGAGGGCTTTGATTGTGTCTTTCTGTACAGCATTCCACTGAAACATTAGGAAGAACATCTTAGTGGAAAGAACTGTTCAGGAGTGGGATGTGCAGCCTGGTCATTTAGTGGAGCCTCCTCCTCTGGAGGCAGCATAATGGCCATCTGTCGGGAGGGCTTTGATTGTGTCTTTCTGTACAGCATTCCACTGAAACATTAGGAAGAACATCTTGGTGGTAAGAACTGTTCAGGAGTGGAATGTGCAGCCTGGTCATTTAGTGGAGCCTCCTCCTCTGGAGGCAGCATAATGACCATCTGTCGGGAGGGTTTGGATTGTGTCTTTCTGTACAGCATTCCACTGAAACATTAGGAAGAACATCTTAGTGGAAAGAACTGTTCAGGAGTGGGATGTGCAGCCTGGTCATTTAGTGGAGCCTCCTCCTCTGGAGGCAGCATAATGGCCATCTGTCGGGAGGGCTTTGATTGTGTCTTTCTGTACAGCATTCCACTGAAACATTAGGAGGAACATCCTGGTGGTAAGAACTGTTCAGGAGTGGAATGTGCAGCCTGGTCGTTTAGCGGAGGCTCCTCCTCTGGAGGCGGCATGTCCATCTGTCGGGAGGGCTTTGATTGCGTCTTTCTGTACAGCATTCCACTCAAATATTAGGAAGAACATCTTGGTGGTAAGAACTGTTCAGGAGTGGAATGTGCAGCCTGGTCATTTAGTGGAGCCTCCTCCTCTGGAGGCAGCATAATGGCCATCTGTCGGGAGGGCTTTGATTGTGTCTTTCTGTACAGCATTCCACTGAAACATTAGGAAGAACATCCTGGTGGAAAGAACTGTTCAGGAGTGGAATGTGCAGCCTGGTCATTTAGTGAATGCTCCTCCTCTGGAGGCAACATAATGGCCATCTGTCGGGAGGGCTTTGATTGTGTCTTTCTGTACAGCATTCACTCAAACATTAGGAAGAACATCTTGGTGGAAAGAACTGGAATATGCAGCCTGGTGGTTTAGTGGAGCCTCCTCCTCCTCTGGAGGCGGCATGTCCATCTGTCGGGAGGGCTTGGATTGTGGAGGCGGGAGGGAGGAAGGAAGGCGGGGCGGAGAAGGGAAGAAGGGAGGGAGGAAGAAGGGAAGCCAGGCAGGGGCCCGCCCTTCCCGGCCATGCAGCAGAAGCAGCAAGCGCCTGGGCCAAGCAAGGCAATGGAGGAGCCTTCCTTTGCAAAGAAAGAAAGGAAAAGTTGAGAGAGAGAGAAAGAAAGAGAAGAAAGAGAGAGAGAAGAGGATGCTGGAGGCCGGAGACGCCTAATCTGGGCGCAAGAGGCCGCCCTCCTTCTTCCCTTCCCTCTCTCCTTCCTTCCTTCCTTCCTTCCTTCCCTCTCTCTTTCTCTCCCTCCGCCTTTTCCGGGGCCCTGATCCTTAAGGAAGGAAAGAAGGAAGAGAAGAAGGAAGAGAAGGCATTGGGACCAACCTACCACCCGGAGGTGAGTGGCGTCCACACTTTGGGGGCGATCCCGGTACAGCCAAGCCATACAAGGCGGACCACACCCTCCTCCTCCTCCTCCTCCTCCTCCTCAAAGGCCCCGCAGAGAAAGAGAGAGAAGGAGAAAAAGAAAGGAAGGGAGGAATAGAAAGAGAGAGAGAGAGAGAGAGATGCTTGGCTGTCCTTGGAGCTTCGAAGGCGAGGGATTTTAATGCATGCACATGCCTATGTATTTATATACACACATACATATATACATATTGTATATATGTATGTTTGGGTTTGATTTTAAAAGTTTCTTTAACTCAGTATTGCAAGGCTAGATTGTATCTATAGCTCTCATATATTATTGTTGAGCTATGAATACAGTGTAGAATGTAGGTAGAATGTATAGGTAGAATGTATCTGTAGAATGTATCTGTAGTTCAGATACAGGTAGAGGTAGAATGTATCTGTAGTTCAATTCAATATACATACAGTATATATAGATTGATATAGAATTAGATTGTATCTGTAGCTCTAATATATTGTTGAGCTATGAAGAGAATATATATATATATATATATATATATATATATATAGGTAGAGTGATAGAACTAGACTGTATCTGTAGTTCAACTATATATGTATATATGTATGTATATAAATACAGCATGTATAATGTGTTGTCGAAGACTTTCATAGCCGTTGTTGTAGGTTTTTTCTAGACCATGGCCATATAGCCCGAAAAAACCTACAACAACACAGTATGTATATGTATATATATATATACACACACAAACACATACATACATCAATATAGATTGTATCCGTAGCTCTCTTATATAATGTTGAGTTATGAATGGTGTATATAGGTAGATAGAGGTAGATTGTAGATGTAGTTCAACTATATATGTATATATGTATGTATATAAATACAGTGTGTGTATATACATACACACATATACATACATACATAGATCAATATAGAACTAGATTGTATCCGTAGCTCCTCTTATATAATGTTGAGTTATGAATGGTGTATATAGGTAAATAGAGGTAGATTGTATCTGTAGTTCAATTAAATATAGATAAAGTATATCTATATAGATATACTGTATCCATATAGATTCAATATATACAGATTGATATAGAATTAGATTGTATCTGTAATTCTAATATATTGTTGAGCTATGAAGAGTTCAACTATATATGTGTATATATATAGGTAGATATATAGGTAGATTGATAGACCTTGACTGTATCTGTAGTTCAACTATATATGTATATATATGCATATAAATACAGTATACATACATAGATCAATATAGAACTAGATTGTATCCGTAGCTCTCTTATATAATGTTGAGTTATGAATGGTATATATAGGTAGATAGAGGTAGATTGTATCTGTAGTTCAAATCAATATAGATACAGTATATATAGATATACTGTATCCATATAGAATCAATATATATAGATTGATATAGAATTAGATTGCATCTGTAGCTCTCTAAAATATTGTTGAGCTATGAAGAGAGTATATATATATAGGTATATTGATAGACCTAGACTGTATCTGTAGTTCAACTATATATGTATATAAATACAGTACTTATAAATATATATATACATACATACATAGATCAATATAGAACTAGATTATATCTGTAGCTCTCTTATACAATGTTGAGTTATGAATGGTGTATGTAGGTAGATAGAGGTAGATTGTATCTGTAGTTCAACTCAATATACATACAGTATATATAGATTGATATAGAATTAGATTGTATCTGTAGCTCTCTAATATATTGTTGAGCTATGAAGAGAGTATATAGATAGGTAGATCGATAGAGCTAGACTGTATCTGTAGATCAACTATATATTTATATCTATGCACACACACACACACATATACATACATACATACATACATACATACATAGATCAATATAAACTAGATTGTATCCATAGCGCTCTTATATAATGTTGAGTTATGAATTGTGTATATAGGTAGATAGAGGTAGATTGTATCTGTAGTTCAATCTAATATAGATACAGTGTATCTATATAGATATACAGTATCCATATAGATTCAATATGTATATAGATTGATATAGAATTAGATTGCATCTGTAGCTCTCTAAAATATTGTTGAGATATGAAGAGTGTGTATATAGGAAGATTGATAGAGCTAGACTGTATCTATAGTTCAATTCAATATAGATGCAGTATACCTATATAGATAGATATACTGTATCCATATAGATACAGTATATACACATTGATATAGAATTAGATTGTATCTGTAGAAATATTAGAGAGCTACAGATATAAATTAATTCTATATCAATCTATATATACTGTATCTATATAGATAGATATGCTGTATCAATGTTGAATTGACGTACAGATACAGTCTAACTCTATATATTATTGTTGAGCTATAAAGAGAGTATATATAGGTAGATTGATAGAGCTAGATTGCATCTGTAGTTCAATTCAATATAGATACTGTATATCTATATAAATAGACTGTATCCATATAGATTCAATATATATAGATTGATCTAGAACTAGATAGTATCTGTAGCTCTCTAATATATTGTTGAGCTATGAGGAGAGTATATATAGGTAGATTAAGAGAGCTAGATTGTATCTGTAGTTCAATTCAATATAGATACAGTATATCTATCCATCTATATAGATAGATATAGTGTATCCAGATAGATACAGTATATATAGATTGATATAGAATTAGATTGTATCTGTAATATATTGTTGAGCTATGAAGAGAATGTATATAGGTAGATTGATAGAGCTAGACTGTATCTGTAGGTCAACTATATGTGCATATATGTATGTATATAAATAGAGTATATATACACAGATCAATATAGAACTAGATTGTATCCATAGCTCTCTTATATAAAGTTGAGTTATGAATGGAGTGTATATAGGTAGATTGATAGAGGTAGATTGTATCTGTAGTTCAACTCAATATTGATACAGTTTATCTATATAGATAGATAGATAGATAGATAGATAGATATACTATATCCATATAGAGTCAATATATATACATTGGTCTAGAACTAGATTGTATCTGTAGCTCTCTAATTTATTGTTGAGCTATGAATACAGTGTTTATAGGTATATTGATATTGAATTGAACTCCAATTACAATCCAGCTCTATCAATATACCTATAAACACTGTATTCCAAGTATACCAAGTATATATAGATTGATATAGAATTAGATTGTATCTGTAGCTCTCTAATATATTGTTGAGCTTTGAAGAGAGTGTATATAGGTAGATTGATAACTAGACTGCATCTGTAGTTCAACTATATGTGTATATATGTATGTATATAATTACAGTATATATGCCTAGATTAATATAGAGCTAGATTGTATCTGTAGCTCTCTAATATATTGTTGAGCTATGAAGAAAGTGTATATAGGTAGTTTGATAGAGCTACACTGTAGCTGTAGTTCAACTATATGTGTATATATGTATGTATATAAATACAGTATATATACATAGATCAATATAGAACTATATTGTATCCATAGCTCTCTTATATAATGTTGAGTCATGAACGGAGTGTATATAGGTAGATTGATAGAGCTCGATCGTATCTGTAGTTGAATTATCTGTATAAATATATAGGTAGATAGATTGCTATAGTGCCAGATTGTATCAGTAACTCCACAATATATGTGTGTGTGTGTATATGCAGAGAGACAGAAAGCATATGCTTTAAAAACTTTCTATAACCATCAGGATTGTATCTATAGCTCTCTTATGGATTATAGTCGAGCTATAGATACAGTATAGATAGAGAGATAGAAAGAGAGAGAGATTGTAAGTATAGCTAAAAGATGTGTGTGTGTAGAGAGATCACATATGTTCTGGAAAAGGTTTTTCTCACTCTTAATGTTGCAGGGTTGGGTTGCATCAATAGCTCTCTCTCTCATATATATATACACACACACACATACACATACATATATACATACACACACACACACACTACAGTTACGGTGTATATAGAACAGGTAGATACACAGCTAGATTGTATCTATAGCTCAACAGATTATATATGAATGTATATGTAGAGAGAGCATATGTTTTTAAAGTGTTTATAATCCTCAATTTTTCAGAGTGTATCTATAGTTTATATATATTGATGGTTGTGTGTGTCTGTGTGTAACACTAAGCTATAGATACAAGGCTGGATTGTATCTATAGCTCAACTATGGATAGATAGATAGATAGATAGATAGACAGACAGACAGACAGACAGACAGAAATATTGAGGGTGCCATATGTTTTTAAAACCTCAACTATATAACTCTCACTGTTGCAAGACTGGATTGAATCTCTAGCTCTCATTTATGTGTGCGCGCGTGCATGTCTCTCTGTGTGTATATACATTGTATTATTGAACTATAGATACAGTATGTATAGATTGTCCTCGTAGCTCAACAATAGATGTAGAGAGAGACAAGACATAATGTTTTCTTTAAAGTTTTTATAACTCAGTGTTGCAGTGCTAGATTGCATCTATAGCTTAATACATGTATTATTGAACTACATACAGTGATGCTATAGATACAGTGCTAGATTATATATAGCCTAACTATATATTGGGGGGGGGGATCTATGGTATAATATAATATGGAGTATAATATTAATTACTATTTTTAATAGTACCTCTCAAGCAACCAGAAATCACCTTTATCCAGCACCAACCAATCCCTAAGGGTGCTGGTTAACTGAGAATCTACTCTGTGTGTGTGTGTATTGTTTAACTATAGAGACAATCTAGTGCTGCAACATTAAGGGTCATCAAACCCTTTTAAAAGCACATACCGGTTGTATAAGTAGTTGGTGTTTTCAGTCCAAAAACATCCTTAGAATTTCTCCATCATGTACAGTTTTTCCCCCCACAGCTTGCTTTGTTGTTTCTCTGTTGTGGCTAAATCAAATTAGTATTGAAATTAGTTGTGGAGTTTATGAAAGGACTGTGTGTAATATGACCTTTGGGTTGCATTTTCAAATTCAGTCTCATCCCTCAAATGCATGTGAAGCAGCTACAATATTGAAAGAAATGTCTTTGCAGAGATGCATTATTATCATTTCTGTGCAGGGGCCCCATGAGAACTATAATTTCTAGGCCAAGGGAAGAGTCCTTCCTCAGAAACATAGAATTGGCCATTTTGATTTGGGCTTCACTGTAGCCCTTGCTTGTGCATTGATTGAATTAAGTTCCATTAATTGAGGCCGAAACTTTTAGCAATAGCAATATTAATTAGGGCCAGCTAATACCTCCCAACAAAGGATTCCCCCAGGCAGTAAGAAGCCAGACCTTGAAGTTGCAAGGCTATTCAACGCTAATCAAGGTGGCCAGTTGCAATATTCACACCTACCTCAAGCAGATAAGAGTTTTTTCTCCCATCCTGGACATTCCATCTATATAAATAAAAATGTAATGTTCATTTGTGGGATTAACTTAACTCAAAAACTCCTGGATGAATTGACACCAAATTTGGACACAAGACACCTATCAGGCCAATGAGTGACCATCACTCATAAAAACACTGAAAAAAGCAGCAGAAGAGACTTAAAAAGCCAAAAATACAAAAACTACATTACAATGCATGCGCAAAGCCACATATATACACATATACACAGATATATACACACATATATACACATAACACATATGTGTATCACACACACACATATACACATAACGTAAACATACAAAACACATATACACAGACTGGGCCACAGCAATGCATGGCAGGGGACAGCTAGTAAATATATAAAAACTTCATTTGTCCTAGTTTCCAAGAGACCTCTAAACCTCTGAGGATGCCTGCCGTAGATGCAGGTGAAAGGTTAGGAAAGAATCCTTCTGGAACCTGGTCATACAGTCCAGAAAACTCACAGCAACCCAATATTTATTATTATTATTACTACTACTACTACTGCAAGGGCTAAACCGTAAATAATCATAAATAAATAATAAATAATTGTGATTTCTTTTTTTCATGTTTCTCCAAGGGAAGATCTATCCACTCAACGCGGAGAAGAAAGGAGTTAGATCATGTTGTTGAGGCATCAAGGGGGACTTGGTGTTTCAATGAGGCAGAAGCAACATCCACCGATGTGTCGGGAATTCAGCATCTTGGAGGAAGAAGCCCAGCTCATGGCAGTGGATAACTGAAGTGCCAGAAGTGCCACCTTGCTTGATTCGGCTGGGATCACCCTTCTGCCGGCTTCTTTCTCAGTATTGTAGCCTTCCAAGCCTTTAATTTTATCTCTGGGACATTAATGGAATGATGGTGCGGAAAAGGCAGAGAGGTCTTGCCGGGCTCAGCAGGGACTCCTTGGGAGGCAACCGGAGGGGGAGCGGTGGTGGAAGCGGGGTCCTACGAGGCATGCTCCTGCTCCCCAGGCACTATGGCTAGCAGTGGCTCTGGCAAGTCTACCAGCGAGGTATCGACTCCCAGTGGCAGCGCGTTGCAGAGGAAGAAGCTGACGTCCATCTGTGACCACTGCAAGGTCAAGATGCAACTGGTGGCCGATTTGCTCCTCTTGTCCAGCGAGAGCCGGCCGGTCAACACAGAGAGCCTGTCCGTGTTCGGGGAGTCCTTTGAGAAGTGCCGGGACACCATCATCGCCCGGACAAAGGGCCTCTCGATCCTGACTCATGATGTCCAGAGCCACCTGAACATGGGGCGCTTCACCGAAGTGGGGGACATCCTGACAGAGATTGCCGATTTGGTGGTCTCCTTGACTGAGTGCTCGGCCCACGCGGCTTACTTGGCGGCCGTGGAGACGCCGGGCGCTCAGCCTGCCCTGCCTGGGCTGGTGGACCGCTACAAAGTGACTAGATGCAAGCACGAGGTGGAGCACGGGTGCAACGTCTTGAAGACCACCCCTTTGGCAGACCTGAGCCCACAGCTCCTGCTGGAGGTTTCTCAGAACATGTCCAAGAACTTGAAGTTCCTGACGGACTCCTGTGTCACAGCCAGCGAGAAATCCAAGGATAGGTTCGCCAAGGAGCAGTTCAAGCTCAGTGTCAAGTGCATGAGCACCAGCGCTTCGGCCCTCTTGGCTTGCGTCAAGGAGGTCAAGACTTCGCCCAGCGAGTTGACACGCGGTCGGTGCGTCCTGTTCAGCGGGCCCTTGGTGCAGTCGGTCTGTGCCCTCGTTGGCTTTGCTACCGAGCCTCAGTTCTTGGGCAAAGCGGCCGCCATCAATCCAGAGGGCAAAGTGGTGCAGACGGCCATTTTGGGAGGTGCCATGAGTGTAGTCTCTGCGTGCGTCCTTCTCACTCAATGCCTCAGGGATATAGCCCAACATACTGACAGTGGCTCCAAGGTGACCGAATGCAGGGAACGGTTGAGGAACTCGGCTTGTGCCGTCTCCGATGGCTGCAACCTGCTATCTCAGGCACTCAGAGAAAGATCGTCACCTCGGACTTTACCGCCAGCAAACTCCAATTCTGTGAATTAACTCTTTTTTTGTCCATTTAGGCCCTTTCTACACTGCCATATAATCCAGATTATCTGCTTTGATAATCTGGATAGTCTACGCTGCCATATAATCCAGTTCAAAGCAGATAATCTGGATTTTATATGGCAGTGCAGAAGGGCCCTTAGAAAGCATGGTCACTGCTTAACGGAAATGTAACTAGATCCCCTCCTTGACCCTGTGTTTTGTGTATACCAAAGAAGTTGTGCATATGAGCCCATTCCTTTGAATGCAAAGATTATTCTAATTGTCATCATCATCCTTTACTATTATTTGGCATGATGAGGTAGCAAAACTCCAGTTTTTCATCAAGTCGTTGCTTTTGGGGAGGCGGGAAAGGCAGGGAGATATTAAGCAAATTCAAGACCTTGCCTGAGAGCCAAAGTAGCAAGAGAGAAGCCTGGAGAGAGAGGAGATGAGAGCACATTTTGGACTATTAACAGAAGTTTACCATGTTACTGCAGCCATTAGCCATGCTGTTGAGGGATTCTTAATCCGAGCTAGAGTAGTACCATTGAATCTATTGTTAAATACTCAATCAATACATAGATCAGGGTGGATAACTGTGGAAGGCTAGGGGGGCACATTAGTTCCCTGGAAGCACTGGGGATCAAACTCACATTGGTTTCACCCCCCAAAGCCCTGTAGCAGTCTTTGGAGCATTGTCACTCTATGTTTGGGGCCTCCTGGGCCTATAGAGGACAAAAATATATGTTTTTGAAATATTTTTCAATTTTTTTGGCCCTTGGAGGTTTAAGAGGGGCTCTAAAGGTGGTGGAAATATTCTCTATTTTTGGAACATTTTTTTTCTCCTAGGGCAGCATTTCTCAACCGGGGAGTTGTGAGGGAGACTCAGAAGCGTCACCAAAGACCATCAGAAAACACAGTATTTTCTGTTGGTAATGAGGGTTCTGTGTGGGAAGTTTGGCCCAATTCCATAGTTAGTGGGGTTCAGAATACTTTTCGATTGTAGATGAACTATAAATCCCAGCATCTACAACTCCCAAATGTCAAGGTCTATTTCCCCCAAAATCTATCAGTGTTCACATTTGGGCATATTGAATATTCATGCCAAGTTTGGTCCAGATCCATCATTGTTTGAGTCCACAGTGCTCTCTGGATGTAGGTGAACTACAACTCCCAAACACAAGGTCAATGCCCACCAAACCCTTCTAGCATTTTCTGTTGGTCTTGGGAGTTCTGTGTGCTAAGTTTGGTTCAATTCTATCATTGGTGGTGTAGGTGAACTATAAATCCCAGCAACTACAACTCCCAAATTACAAAATAATCCCCCCAACCCTACCAGTATTCAAATTTGGCCGTATCGGGAATTTGTGCCAAATTTGGTCCAGTGAATGAAAATGCATCCTGCATCTCAGATATTTACATCACGATTCATAACATTAGCAAAATTACAGTTATGAAGTAACAACAGAAATAATGTTATGGTTGGGGGTCACCACAACATGAGGAACTGTATTAAGGGGCCGAAGCATTGGAAAATTGTGAACCACTGTCCTAGGGGATTGTATGTGGGCCAAATGTCACACTTATCCCACCTCTTACATTGATAAAACCCCACTGATATCATGTGTAATAGGGGCTAAATTATAGGATTTAGGCCTCTGAGTTTGAGTTCAAAAAGCAACTTTTTAAAGTTCTGGATCTTCCTTTAGACCAGTGGTTCTCATGTGGGTCCCCAGATGTTTTGGCCCTCAGTTCCCAGAAATCCTAACAGCTGGTAAACTGGGATTTCTGGCAGTTGTAGGCCAAAACACCTGGGGACCCACAGGTTGAGAGCCACTGCTTTAGACCACATGTGTCAAACTTAAGCCCCACAGGCTGAATCCAGTCTGCCATGTCATTTTATATATCCTTGTTCTGTTTAGTTGGGAGAGTGGGGTCCGAATTGAGAGACAAGGCTTGTGGGTGTGATGCCTGGCTTTAAAATGTCCTTTCACGCTTCCTCAACCTTAGAGCCACAGGTGCTGTTGGTTTGCAATCCCCATTATCCCCAGTCTGCATGATGGATCATCAAAAGTGGTGGGAGTTGTCCTTCAATAACAGCCAGGGACCCAAACTGGGTGAAAACTAAAAAGCACCAACCACTATGTAATAAAATTATAGTGTCCATGGATTTTCCTTTCAAAGATTTTTCTTTTGGAAGCAACCATAAGCCTGATGTGGCCCTCAATAAGAATGAGTTTGACTCTCCTGCTTTACATTCTTCGAGGGTTGAATGAAAAGTAATGCCTCCACCTTTGTAACGCCTCAACAGATGGCAGTACTGGTATGCAGCAGGTACTGGCTTGTTCAGTAGACTCTCCTCTACAGTTCCATTTTGGTGGGAAGCCTTAGTATTGAACAGTTGTGTTGTTAAAGTGCAAAGTATGGAACCCTGAACAGATGGTCGGTCAATGTGCCTCAAGCAACATGCAGTCACTGAATTCCTGACAGCAGAAGGTGTCACCCCAAAGGAGATTAATTAGGGAATGCAAGCTGTTTATGGTGATTGTGTTGATGTGAGTACTGTGCGTCATTGGGCGAGTAAGTTTAAAGATGTTGAGGCAGGAAAGCTGGTTGCAGACACAGAGCATTGACTTCTTCTGTGATGGCTTCACAAACAAACTTGCCTGACAAACAGTTGGATGTCCCGTGACAGCAACCACCGAGTTTCACAAGCAAAAGGTTGACAGATGGATTCTGAATGATCGTCGTATCACTCAGAGAGAAATTTCAAGCATAATTGGCATTCCACATTATTGCTTTGCTTGGCTATCGGAAGATCTGAGCATGATGGGTTGCGGAAACAGAGTATCACCTTCTTCTGTGACAGCTTCACAAACAAACTTGTCTGACAAACAAAGAGTTGGACGTCCTGTGACAGCAACCACCGAGTTTCACAAGCAAAAGGTTGACAGATTGATTTAGAATGATCGTCGTATCACTCAGAAATTTCAAGCATAATTGGCATTCCACATTATTGCTTTGCTTGGCTATCGGAAGATCTGTGCACGATGGGTTGCGGAAACAGAGTATCACCTTCTTCTGTGATGGCTTCAAATAACTTGTTCATCGTTGGCAGAAATGCATCCAATTGTCTGGTGATTATGTGGAAAAGTAAATAGTGGTAGTTAAAGAGCACATTCTAAGGATTATTTCTGCATTTGATTTATTAAAATATTCCCATCCAAACCCAAGTAATGACGGTGGAGGCATTACTTTTCATTCAACCCTCATATGTAGAGTTTGATGGGCTCCTAGAGAAGAAAAGCCCCATCGTGTTGACATGTAGCTATCTTTCTCACTGCTGACAGGGCTCGGAAAGCTAGTAAATGTCTTTTGAGTCTAGCAACTGATTTGTAAACCTAATTAAACAACCTTATATAGTTGTGGCCTACAAATAAACAACTTAGTCCAGTTTTACAAACAAAACAACAGTTTAAAGGTCTTTATAAATGAGGATGGAAATCTTGGGGGCGAGGGATGCCTTAAATGCACTGGTTGCGGTTGAACACTTTTGAGGGAGGATTTTTTTTCCTATTTTGTTTCTTTTAGTCTTCCACAATTTTCCTTCTAAATTTTACTGTTTAACTTGTGCAGGAAGAAAAAAAAAGTTACCTCAATTTTCCTATAGCCTGAAAGAAGCAATGATTTAATGATGGATGTAGCTTCCTTTTCTTTTTGTTTTGTTTGTGGTTTTGTCTGGTTTCTTTTGAATCAAGTCTTAGCGTTAGAAGTGCCGTGTGGAAAGGAGTGAAGGTTGGATCGGATGTCCGAACGAGGGGGAAAAGCTACTTCGAGTGTGTTTCGAACGGGGCGGGAGATATGACACTATTAACAGGAACGTGATTTGGGTTTTTTTCCTATTATTATTTGTTTGGGTGTCAGTTTTGTTTTTAATCTTGCATGTACTGGAGTATTTATTTCATCTATTAAAATATTGTTTCTCAGATCTCTTTCTCTGAATTTCTTAATATCCAAGTAATTAATTTTAATGTATTGTCGAAGGCTTTCATGGCCGGAATCACTGGGTTGTTGTAGGTTTTTTCGGGCTATGTGG